CTCTCCCCTCCCTCTACAGCTCTATGCTGCCTCGCCTCCACACGCTGTCTCCTCCTGTGGCACACTCTGTCCTCTCAGCCTTATCTCCTCCCTGACAAACTCGCTCAGGTTCTCAGATCTACACTGAGCATTCATTTCTTCTTGATCCCGAATTGCCTTCATGTGTCGAATTGCCTTCATGTGTCCTGGATCCCCAGTTACCTCTCATCTCTCTATCCCCACTAGGGCTCCCAGCCCTTTCTGGGGTGGGATCAGTAGTTTGGGGCCCTTGTACTGTATCTTCCCTCTAGCACAGGGATTCTGAACCAAGGATGATTTTGCTTCCCAGGGGACACATGGCAATGTCTGTAGGTAATTTTGGTTATAGTAGCTGGGCTGGTCCCAGCTGGCGCTACTGGCATTCAGTGAGTGGAGGCCAGGATGCTGCTAAACGTTCTATAGTACACAGGACCGGCACCCGCAACAAAGAATTATCTGGCCGACGACGTCACATGTGTCAAGGTTGAAAAATCCCTGCTCTGTTATACAGCTACAGGACTACAAGGATAGGCTTGGAAATTGCTAGGTGTGGAGCCTTGGTGCTGACCTTCCAGGAACAGCTACTCTTTCGGTTCCTCAATTGAGAAGAGGGGGGCGGCGCATTGCCATGAAACAGCTGGGACACGGGCAGGAATCTGCAAGCAGAGAGGTGAGGGAGATTCCTCACTCCCCAGATTTACTACTGGCTTTTAGAGAAAGTATCAAATACAACTTCTGATTGCCTTTCTGCCTCTATGATATAGTGCCGCTCTTTGGAAAGAGAATAGCAACTTATTATTCTAGCAGTTTGTCAAATGCAAAACTTTATGTGGTGACTGTTGAGTGTAATAGGTTTTGGAGCCCCCTTTCCCCAATTTTGTTTTCTTCAGTCAGAAACCTTCTTTGAATATTAGAATATTTGATTTGTTGGTAACACATGGTAGGGATGACTGTTCAGAAAAAAAAAAACTGCCTCTGTTTTAATTTGACGTTGATGACTTCTTTTTTTAAAACTCTTCTTTTAATTTTTATTTTTTTTTAAGATTTTATTTATTTATTTGAGAGAGAGAGAGAGATTGAGAGAACGAGTGGGGGGAGGGGCAGAGGGAGAAGCAGTCTGCCCACTGAGCAGGGAGCCCGACACGGGACTTGGTCCCAGGACCCTGGGATCACGACCTGAACTGAAGGCAGTTGCTTCAATGACCGAGCCACCCAGGCGCTCAAGGTTGATGACTTCTTAAGACTGTGCCTATTTCTCAGAAACTGGCCCAAAGTGTTGCTTTTTTCCTTAGGGCTGAGTTTCTTGGGGGCTCTGTTTCTAACTAAGCCGTGAAAATGCCACCGACAAATTTAATGGGCTAGTCTAACCTCTTTTTTTTTTTTCCACTCTTGCCAGTTTCTTCCATCTGTACCCAGTTGTCTTCAGCATGGAGGAACAGAACCACTCTCCTGGAAAGGAGCTGCAGCATAGGACACGAGCGGAGTCTCCAGGAAAGAAGAGCTGGCACTCCCAGGCCTATGCCCTTGGGGCCGTTTCCAACTTTATGTCTACTTTTCTGACTTTCCCTATCTATAAGGTTGTGTTCCGGCAACAGATCCATGCCGTGGCGGTGTCAGAGGCTGTGCGACAGCTTTGGCATGAAGGCCCTCAATACTTCTACCGGGGAATATACCCGCCTCTTCTCTCCAAGACATTGCAAGGGACTCTGTTGTTTGGGACTTATGATAGCCTGCTGTGTTCTCTCTCTCCTGTTGGGCCACACTCCCTGAGACACCGCTGGGCTGCAGGGCTCATGTCTGGTGTGGTGGAGGCTGTGGCACTGAGCCCCTTTGAAAGAGTGCAAAATGTGCTCCAGGATGGTCGCAAGCAAGCCCGCTTCCCCAGCACCGTCAGCATTCTCAAGGAATTCAACTCTTATGGGCTTTGGGGGCGGCTGTCACTGGGCTACTATCGTGGTTTCTGGCCTGTCCTTCTCAGGAACAGCCTGGGGAGTGCTCTGTATTTTTCCTTCAAGGACCCCATCCAGGATGGCTTGGCAGAGCAAGGTCTGCCCCATTGGGTTCCTGCCTTAGTGTCTGGGAGTGTCAATGGAACGATCACCTGCCTAGTTCTGTATCCTCTGATTGTGCTGGTGGCCAATATGCAGTCCCATGTTGGCTGGCAGAGCATGCCAAGCCTGTGGGCCTCTGCTCAGGACGTGTGGGACACTCGGGGCCGAAAGGTGTTCCTGATCTACCGGGGAGGCTCCCTTGTCATCCTAAGGTCCAGCGTGACATGGGGCCTCACTACGGCTATCCATGACTTCCTGCAGAGGAGGTCTCATTCCAGGAAAGAGCTGAAAGACTGACTAGCTGCAGGAAGTGTGGCTATGGCAACTTTGTTAACCTAAGCCTTCCCAGGTCGGTCTAAATAGCTTACTTCTTTGGCTTGGTTACCTGATACAACCATTCTTTAGTGTCTTTGAACTGCCAGTGCATGGGAGAAGTTCCCAGCTACCAGCCTGTTGGGCACAGACAAAGCCCAACAGAGTTCCTTGGTCAGAAAGAGAAAGTCACTCTGGTCTGTCCACAGTTTCAACAGCCGCGGACCAAGGAGGCCCTTAAAAAACTTGTAACCCTGATGAAATATCATTCCTTTAAGGAGTTCCTTGACAGTAAGAGGAACTGTTGAAAGATGACCTTAGTTAGCCACTGTGAGTTCTGGGATCCCTCCAGTTGTCCTTTGGACCAAACTTAGTGGAGGACCAGGGACTCCAGTGTCAAAGAACTAAGCTTGACGCTTAGGATGTGGATTCCATAGAACTTCTCAGATGGCTACATTTCCACAATATTGTTCACTATTTCTACCACCACCACTCTCACTTCTCAGGGCTGTGGGCTCTAGTTTCAGTCAGGCTGGCAGCTGGGGCTAGAAACCCTAAATTATACTTGCCTCAACTGATCAGATGTCACAGGAACTGATGGGACTGGATATAGGAGTGGGAAGAAGTGTTGTCACGGGGCGCCTGGGTGGCTCAGTCGTTAAGTGTCTGCCTTTGGCTCAGGTCATGATCCCAGGGTCCTGGGATCGAGCCCCGCATCGGGCTCCCTGCTTGGTGGGAAGTCTGCTTCTCCCTCTCCCACTCCCCCTGCTTGTGTTCCTGCTCTCACTGTGTCTCGTTCTCTCTCTGTCAAATAAATAAATCAAATCTTTAAAAAAAAAAAAAAAAAAGAAGTGTTGTCACTGGTTGGGTGGAAAGAATAGACTTTGAGGGAAGAGATTTAGTTGCATGAGAAAAATTTACTCTAGATGGCTTGGTGTTATCTGCCAGGATATTTCTGATAGCAAGGCAATAACATTGCCTAGAAACCACTTGAGTTTCCCTAGGAAATCTGGAAGCGAAATGACCATATCTCTTCACAAATAATTGCATATTTTATTGCTGTGGATAAATATAGTGACTGTGACAAAAAGATCAGAAATCTTAGCCTGTCCTTCAGAGCCATTCAACATATGGCCCCCATATAACTTACAGCATTTTATCACACCACTGCTACTTACATAGATCCCATACAACCAGCTAAACTGGACTATTGTTCTCTCCCCAAACATGCCATGAACTTTCCCGTGGCCTTGCTTTGGCCCGCACTATTTCTCCACTTGGAGTGCCCCTTCCTCACATGCCAGTCTGCCAAAATCCTTCCAGTTCCTCAAAGCCTAGCTCAGATGCCACCTTCTCTATGGAGACTCTTTTGATATCCCACAACTGAATGTGACGTTAGTCTCTAATGACACCCCTTTCCAAGAACACTGCATACATGGCACTGATTCCATCATGTCACTGAGTTCATGTGACCCTGTGTTCTTGTTGGTGTTCTTCAATACCTCCTACTAGACTGTAAAACTCCTTGAAAGCAGGGATTCTTGTATGCATTTTAAAATCTCCCATTGTGCCTAGGTACTCAATAATGTTGGCTGAATTATTGAATTGATTATCAAGCTGTGATATGATCTTTATCCTCAGGGTGCTGTCCCTTGTACATGAAAATAATGTTATTGACTCGCTGTCAGCAAGACACATGCCTTTGGGGTGTGGTTTTGTTTTCTTTTATTAGTGGATTTAGTTTTATGCTAATGATAATGATGCTGCTGGTAATTAATAATAATAATAAATGACTTTCAACTGGAACATTCGATGACTTTGTGTTATTGATGGCATGTTTGCTATGAGCAACGCCATAGGAAGTAAAATTTCACAAACAGAAACACACTGCATAACTGTCCCATTCATTTCAACTCTGGAGCTTTGAAGATTTCCAAGATGACATATGTTGCAGTTTTCCCCTTGTAGATGATAATGATAATGACCTCCACTTGCACCTCTTTACCTAACTGAATTTGTCATTTAAAATGACCTAATTATGGACCCTAGCTGGGAGAATTCCTCACTTTAATTTCCTCACAGAAATTAAAGACACAGCAGTAGGCAATGTGAGATCAGAATGCATTTGCCAGCAAGGTCAATATTGACAATGGCTGGTCCAGAATAGCTGCAGACGAGTTCCCATGTCTGATCCTTGTGGAGACTTGGACGGGGTAGGATGGTACTCTGTGGATTCAAGGACAGGGAATACAGGGCCTGCACAAGGAAAGGTAAAATAGAATAGTAGCTAGTTCTCTTTCAAGGCTAACTCTTTCAAGGAAGAAAATAATTTACAAAAATTCATAGCTTATAGCTGTGGGTTTTTAAAAAATATTTATTTATTTGAGAGAGAGAGTGCGTAAGCATCAGTAGGGGAGGGGCCGAGGGAGAGAGAGAAGCAGACTCCCCGCTGAGCAGGGAGCCCATGTGGATCTCAATTCCAGGACCCTGAGATCATGACCTGAGCCAAAGGCAGACGCTTAACCACTGAGCTACCCAGGTGCCCCTACAGCTGCGTTTTTTAAGCCGAAAAGGAGATAAACTACCATACTCCCCTACCTTTTAATCCAAGAGATGCATTCATTTATTTCCAAGTATGCTATGGATTTCCACTTATGTCGCTGTGTCAGTCCATGTCCCTTTCTCCATTTTAACTTCTTATTTAGAAATAATTTCAAATTTATAGAAAAGTTGCCAGCATAAGTCAAGTACAAAGAACACCTATATACCCTTTACCCAAATTCACCTACTGTTAACATTTTAGCCCATTTGCTTTATTGAGCACTCATTCCCTAGCTACACACACACTATTTTTTCCATGAACTACCCAAGAATTGCAATCTTAATATTTCTAGAGTCAATATTTGTAGATTCAAATTACTTTTCAAAGACTGTGTTTTATCTCTATGACAATGGCACAGTTACTATATAGATGTTCCCCAAGTTAACCGTGGCTCAACTTAGGATTTTTTGACTTTACGATGGTGTGAAAGCAATAGGTATTCAGTAGAAACTGCACTTTGAGTTTTGAATGTTGATCTGCCGGGGCTAGTGATATGTGGTAGATAGTCTCCTGACCTGGGCAGCAGCAAAGAGCCGAGGCTCCCAGTCAGCCCCACGATCAAGAGGGTAAACAATCAATACACTGATAACTGTACCCACACAACCATTCCGTTTTTCACTTTCTGTACAGTATTTAACAAATTACATGAAGTATTCAATATTTTGTTATAAAATAGGCTTTGTGTTAGATGATTTTTGCCCGGCTGTAAACTAATGTAAGTATGCACGTTTAAGTCAGGTTAAACTAAACTATGATGTTTGGTAGGTTAGGTGTATCAGAGGCAATTTTGACAAAAGATATTTTCAGCTTATGATGGGTTGATCAGGATGTCACCCCATGTAAAGTTGAGGAAGATCTATAGACTACTAGAAAACGAAAATTCATGACCTATTTTAAATTTACATTGGTGGTAATTGTTTAAATTTACTATATTTGCCCTTATAGAAATTTTAGTTTTACATTAGTATGTTAATACTTAAAGCTATGTAATTATAATATCAACATGAATTTACAACTAAAGCTTGTTGTAATTTAAATAATAGATTTTTACAAATTGCTTCATATGAGAACCTAGGCAAAATTACGTAGACCTATCAACTTTTTCCATTTAAGTCTTCGGAGTAAAGTTTGAGTGTAATAGTTTTCTAGTAATTTTAAATATCAATATTTAGTTTTGTGATGTTAATGTGGTTATATTCTCTGTCATTTAAAAAATGACTTTTGGACTGGAGATTAGTAAAATAAGGAGGTAATAAATACCTATGTCTGTTTAAACTTACAAAATGTAGAATTTAATGCTAAAGTTACTTAGTATGAAAAGTTGAAAGAAAAAGAATAAAAATCCCCCTATGAGCCCTGTTATTTTTGTCTTAAATATAAACCATCAGCTTTTCTAAAGCTCAAGGTGAAATAACTAATGTATTACTATTATTGTTATATGGTTTATTAAGACTTAATTTTGTTCTTAAAATTTATTTTTAAACCTTAAATAGTAGTATAATTTACATTTTTGGAACAACTGCATATAGTATAGTATATTCAAGCTAATAAAATAATGTTCCATATGAGAGAAAAAGCAGCATAATAAATCATGAAAAAAGTAAAAAGTTTTCATAAAGGAATAAATAAAAAATACCCTATTTCCCTATATTCTCCAACTTCTCTATTTCTTTCATACCACTTTCTTTTCCTCAAATCTTCAACACTTCCTCACCTGTCCTCAGTCCCAGTTGGCGACCTTGCTTTCCATTTCATTAAGAAAAGAGGAGCATTCAGAAGAGAACTTCCAGTTAAAAGAACATTTATAATCACCCATGTAATGACCACCCAAGACAGGAAATAGAACATCTTGATAACCCCCACCCCCTCACTGTTCCTGCTTCCAGTTCCCCACCAATGATGACATTCCTCTCTCCATCCAAGAGGTAACCCTTGACTATTGTGATATCACTGCTTTTCTTTATAGGTTTTTTCTTCTATATAAGATTCTCTAAATGCAGTTTTGTTTCACAGTTATTTGAACTTTATATAATTTATATATTTGGAATTGTGACTATCTTCTTTCATTCCACATTATTTATGAGATTCACCCATGTTGTTGCAGGTAGCTGTAAATGTTAATTCTTTTTAAAAAATTGTGACAAATTTACTTTAAAAAGTGTTTCTTTCTTAGAGCAATTTTGGAGTCACAGCAAATTTGAGAGGAAGGTACAGAGAGTTCTAATATACTCCCTGCTCCCACACATACATAGCCTCCCCTATTATCATCCCACACAAAAGTGGTACATTTGTGGGCGCCTGGGTGGCTCAGTTGGTTAAGCGACTGCCTTCGGCTCAGGTCATGATCCTGGAGTCCCGGGATCGAGTCCCGCATCGGGCT